ATCAAGCCATTTTGGTTTATTTTAGACCAAAAGGCCAGACAGAATTTCGACTACTTAAGATGGTCCGATTTCAATTCTGCAAAGAGATTCGAGTTCTTTGGCTACTTCACCGTGCTATGTAGGTGTCGGATTTTTATTTAAAATTTTAAGTTTCTTGTATTTAAATTAATTAAATTTGCAATAATTTCAATATTAAAACCCAATTTGTTTACTTAAAAAAAAGCATAAAATCTGTTTTTCTAAATAACCTAGTTGCCATAGAAATTTATATTGGACCGTCTTAAGTAGTGGACATTTTTTCTGGTTTGCAATGCTCAAATAAAAATGATGACACATTAATATATATTGAAGGGTTTGACGTGATGTTTCGTTATGCCAATTGGGTATTTTTTTTTTTTTTTTGTTCTGGAAGGATTTATTAAAACTAGTGTCAATAATATTGTATTGAACGAAACAGCAGTCACGGTGCAGCTTGTGTCACACAATGTACATAATAAAAACAGTATAAATATCGCCCCAAAAGGGAAAATTAAATAGTAGCGTTTTACGAGAGAGACGTTAAATTTTTAACGGCGCAAGCATCGGCAAAAGCAATTACATTATTACATGTTAAAACCTTCAAAAACCGCGACGTCCCATTTAATGTTTCTGAGCGACAGCCTTTGTGAGACGCTTGTACACAGCACGGATAATAATAATTAAAAGCCAGCTACAGATGTATATATATATATATATTGGACCCATATAAAGATAGGTTGTCGATTGTCAAAAGTTGGAATTTTTTCAACGAAAATTGTTAATGATGAAAACTATGAGCTAAGAGTACTTACTTAGAGTTGAGTTAGGTACCTGAAAATATTGGAGATTTCTTATTTGAATAGACTACTATATTGAATGCCAGGGTCAGCCGCAGGGAAAACATAAAAAAATCCGTCTATATTGGCGACCACATTGCACTATATTGGTTACAGGTAATAATGTGTATTATATTCAGGCCATACGATCCTAATATCCAATCAATAATTATTCAGTTAAAAATATGCTGTTAAAATTACCAAACTATTTAACAATAGAAGCCCAACATATTATGAACTTCAAGTCGGCATGCCCTAGTGTATAGAGATAAAACAAGTTTGTTATTCAGATAATAATATTTCCTCTTGTATATTCCTAAACACTCTGGAAACGTTAAAAATATAACACAATAGCTATGCAGAGTGTTTACGGTCAGGAAAACAATTTCATAATGATTTCATATTGTCGGTAGGCAGGTAGGTAGGTAGGTTACCATTCGATACAAAATATTAATTCCTATATAATCCTTGAGAGAGAGGACTTAAAAATGTACATTGGCTATTAAGCTGTTATTATCGCGTATTAACATTTCAATATGATAAATATAATGTACAACAATGTATTATTATCGTCGATGCGAGGTATTAAGTTTTCCAAAGATTAAGTAGATATATTGTTTGTTAAATTGCGGGCACAGTTTTCCATCATATTATAACGTTATAATCCTTATATTGTTTTTAAGTCTATTTAAAACAAGTAGGTACCGTCCGGTAACAATGAACAGTTATACATTATTCTTTATAGTTGGTACAAATCCATATTTAAAGGATACTACAAGGAAAGCGGCCTGAGTGTGCGTTTGTCAGAGAAATTGTCTAGTCAATTATCAATTACAAATACTTAGCAATAGTCTCCTATGAATTATACAAAATATACTGCTGCAAGCCAGATATCACACTATGTCATAGTTTTACCGTTAGAAGATATATATATATATATATATATATATATGTATATATTTGTTTGACAAAATTCTTCTCCGAGTCTCTCTCTGTCTCCAAGCTGCCTCCCCTCTTGAGTCCAGGTCTACCTAGCGATTAGAATGACTCCAATGTTGCTTAAACTGTGGCACTATATTCATGACTACGCATATTCTCAAGTAATAGTAAGTAATTAGTAACTGAAAATATTACAATGACCAAAAAACATACCTAATATATAATTTATTTTACAAAACCAGCGAACGAGTATATTAAATAATTACTGCAATAAATCGTGTTTGACCGAACATATAAGTACAACTTTACAAGTAAAACTTTTTTAATTAAAGAATCAAACAACTGGGGCTCTTTACAAATAGTGCTTTCCAAATCAATGATCGTTCCGCATCGGTAGGTAACGGTCTGTTGTAAAAAATATGTTCTTTAGTTTTTACATTCATTATAGTTTACTGTTTGTGGATGTAGTGATATTACTACATACAGGGTGATTCATGCGAACTACGAACCAGTCGACCAGTCTATTATCTTAGAAGATAATATTAGATTTTTTTTTTTAATTATTGTTTTTCAGACATTCAAAATAATTAGTTAGTTAAATTTTATACATTGTGTCACTAAGACCTGAGAAACGAAATAACTTTTGTTATGAAGTGAATATTCCATTCTATTCCCATCCCACTCTTTAAACTTTAATAAGTGATTATCCAAAATTGGTTATCGACCGGTCAAAATTCTCAGCAAATTATTCTCAATAAAATGGTTCTTGAATTTTTTTTTTTTTTAAATAACAAAAAATAATAAAATTAAACAGTTGAGAGTAATACAATACATTTTCCATTAAAATCGTCATAATTCAAAACTTATAAATGTTAAATAAAAAAATTCTCAAAACAGACATTAAAATACTACCGTTAAAATATTTATATAGGTTTATAGTTTTTTTAATTAATTACAACGACTTAAAGTTAGTCGGTTTAATACTATATAAGCAATGACTAAAAATGTATTTATATGTATCTTTAAACCATATTGGTTCTATCAATAAACAGTAACAAGATTAAATGGAGAAAATATGGTGTCCAAGAAGGCTAAGAAATACAACATTAACATAATACAAATTCCGAATTAATCAGACACATCACTAAAATAGAATGCTATCAACACAGTTTTTTTATAATATTTTGAAATTAACATAATTTTCAATATTCAAATTATGTCTAGTGCAAAATTGTACAGATGAATATACGCATTAGGACAATATTTTTCAAATGTAGGATATAAAACAGGTTTATTATTGTATAAACTTTAATAGCGAATTTAAAATGACTATAAACTGGTCGATTTAATTTTTTAAATATTAATTTTTAATTTAAATTCAGTCTAAAGGATTGTTTAAAAGTTGTAATATTGAGCCTTTGTTTTAATCAAAACTTTTAAAATTGAAAGTTTATATTTATTTAATAAAAACACTTGTTCTGTGTATGAAATGTAACATTTTTATCCAATATCAGAGCTTAAAAAATAAAAGTGTCCTATAGAAAACAATTATATTACAACTTTAAGAATATTGCAACACTTAAAAGTAGTTATCACAATATCATATTTTGTAAGACATTTTTAATCACAGCTGTACTTTGGTTTAACGAATCAACACATATTAATAGGCCCTTTTTCTGGTAAAATAAAATTATGTTTTCTTATTCATAAGTATGATCCGGTATGCTTAGTCCCAGACCAATATTCTAGCACAATATCAAATGGGGGGAAAAAAGCAATTTTTAATAAGAAAACACGCATTTTTTGCTAAAAATAAAAAACCTTATTGGATTTCCTTGTTCTAATAAGTGTCTCTGGATAGGATTGTATCGGTTGATCTGGTTTTAACTCACTTTTCGATTAACCCTTTGACCACCACGTTGTAAACGGCCGACTGACAGCGGTTCTGGAAGATGTCGTCGGCCCAGAAGTTCAGATGTCTTACGCTGTTGCCTTGTGGCCTGAAGTGATCCGAAGAGGCTGGTCCTGGTTTCAATCGCAACAGCTGCAACGTTCAATTGGAATGAATTATTATTATTAAATTCCTGTGGTGGCTTCCACCCTATTATACTGTCAACAATATCGTTTACTTTGCCATTTTGACCGACCACATAGCGCTGTCCGTCGAACCGTGTGGTGGGCGTAAGAGAAATGTAAAATTTCAAATCGAATTCCATTAACAAATTATTAAATATTATCCAAATATGTTTACACCGTAAACGAACAATAATTCCCTAGGATATTGCAATGTGTTTGTTAATACATATTGCAGTTATGTGCAGTGATCCAGTGTCTGATGTGAGACACACACAGAACATATTTTTCACTCTCAACCCTTGTAAAACAAGTATGGATCTGGTTTTTTTTTTAAATGGGAACATTTTTTTTTTTAATGTTAGCGTATGAATTTTTAATTTTCATCAATCTGTTCGTTTGCAAAGACATTTCTCTTTATAATTATCATTACATGTCTTAATGAGCGTCTTACAGATCAGATGGATCCTGTACACCCTGTACAGGCAAAGTAGAACAGGTCATTTTATTATATTGTTAATTGAAAAACTATATGTAATTAGTACCTATAAATGTTTGAACAGAATGAAAACTTGTTACTGAATCAGGTATGTATTATAAAAAAATAACCGCACTACATCTTAGATCAGAACAGACATTAAATTAGTATTACAATTTTTTTTTTAAATAATGGATTTACACAATGGATATTACAACTACCATATAAATGGTATACAAGGAGTACGCAGATTAATATCTTATTTTAAGATTCGTGTCTATCAAAGTAGATGTTAATTATTTTGACAAAAAACACGCTATGAAAGCTGAATGAAATTAGGAAAAAAGTCTCACCTTATTACAAAAAAAAAAGATTGTTTATTCGTAAAAAATAAGCTGTTAACAAAGTTAAATAATTAACAAATGTATAATATAATATTGAAATATCAACATTTAACAAAAATAATAAAATTATTAATACCAAATTTTTAAATTAAAAAAAAATTTGTTCTTATAAACTAATATTAATCTTTCCAATGTGTATTTTGCACAAATTCAAAACAATTAGTCACAAAGAGCATGTATGAACAAACAACTTTGACGATAAAATTATTTATGTTAATTTGAAAAAAAAATTCAACATATTTATATAAAAATATTTATAGTAAATTATTACACTTGTAATGTTTGTATAACGCAAACTGTTCATTAATTCTTCTATTTTTTTTTTTAACGATAAATTCTAACAAATTATACATTAGTAATACTTGATGCCAAAATGGCGGCAATGACCTAAATAATAATTACACTCCTCGTGTACATTATATGTTTGTAAATACTTTATTTACTAAGTTACTCATATAATAAAATAATAATAATAAAAATAATGATGACAATTTTAAACTCAAATCAATGTTAGAGAAATAAAATAATATTAATGAATTAATTTCATTTTAGAGAAAAAAAAAATTATGTAAACAAAGATGAAAATAATACTAAATTGCCGATATTGTATAACATTAATTGCGTTACACACGGGTAAATAAATTTGTTCATCGAAGGACGTCTTAGTCATTAACCAAATACTAACGTACAGACATACACAACAGCACATATATATTATTTCATACAGTCAATACATTTAAAAAAGGTGACCCTGTAACGTTTACCGATATTTTGAGCACAACAAACTGACCACAACAGCTGTTGACGGCAATTAAATTAGGCGTGAATTTTTCAAGTAATAAATGAGCAACGAGTGTACAAATTTATATTGAGTGACAGTTTCCACAAACAGCATGCGCTGGTGCCGAGCTAATGATATTGTTTTTGGTATGTCCAATTCCTAGAAAGAAAAAAACGTTGATTTAAATTTAATATTATTTCAACAATTTAAACAAGTTTTTAAAAAATGATAAACACAACAAACAGTAAATACCATATCTAAATTATCATGGTTTTTTTTCTTGAATAACGTTGTCTATATGTGTTATTGTTACAACTTATAATACAAAAGTCAAACCATCTTGTCACTTCCTTATTTAAATTATACATATATATATATATATATATTTTTTTTTTGTTGATCAATTTTATTGTTTATTATTATTATCTCTATAAATAGGCCATCTCGTCTATTTTTTTTTTAATGTTGGTTTTTAATACATGTTTGTAATTTGATATGAAAACATACTTGATTGTGATCCAAGGTGTACAACAGTAGATCACTTAATACTGTAAGGCCGGTTCTTCCTACTCCCGTACTGCAATGCACGAGAATTGGCGGATTACGATTTTGTCCAGTCGGTATTTCGGTTATGGTGTGTTCTCGAACTGAACTCATTTCTTCCAAAAAACCTGCAAATAAAACAAAACTCAAAACTTCAGTGCCGGTCTTAGGGCAGAGGACGGCGCAGCGGGGCCGCGGCCTTGAGTCTCGGCAAAATTAATTCATACTATACTAACCAAGAAAGTGTGAAACATTTGCTGGACAGTCCTGTTCGGCCCACTGAACGTATTGCAAGTGCCAAACACTTCTGGATCGTCTGGACGAGTTATGTTGCAGTTTTAGTTTACTAGTGACACAATGTCCCGTTTCCTGTGTAAACTGAAGCCATACGTGGTACTAAAACAAAATAATTATGGAATCATTACCAAGTAATGAAGTACACACTGGTAAGCATGAGCACACACCTCGCCAAATTGTACAGAATGATCAGCCACTGTTGGAAAGTATTCACCGTAGCTATCGTCTGAGGCGTTAGTCTTTGGCCAAGAAAGGTCAAGAATAAGATGAACACCCGCCTCCCACACCATTTGCCAAAAGTGATTAACGGTGCCTGGTAATGGGGTTTGTGTGGCTATGTAGAATCTTTGTTCATTTCCAACTGAAGCCTACAAATACATAATTTTACAAAAAAATTGCAAGCAAATTGATTACAACAAAAATTGCACAACTTACTGTTATGTGAGATGCATTAATGTAACCAAAACGATTTTCCTTGCTCGGCGATAACCGCACTCGATTTTCTTCATACGGAAGAATATCCTTGTGTCTGAAACGATAAATTCCATTAGTGGAAAATCAAGATAAACCGCACAAGTATTGATAATATACCTATTTCTCGAATAATTCTCAAGTACAAACGCAGTTGAAAATTCAGCGTTGGGTTTAACTTTTGTTATTTTATCGAATTCTTGAAACAGTTGAGCATCTTCTAATTTATGTTGCAATATATTGCACTAGATGTCAAGAAAAACAAATGTGTAAAACAAACAAATACAAACAAACAATTACATACGCATTAAAGCTATCAGCCATACCATGGTATCCTTTGAAATGGTAGAAGGGATGGGAAGTCCTGAAACAGTGGAATGGCGTTGATTGAATTCTTCACTGCTAACGCCGCCTCCACTCCTACTTAGAGTTTTACTTTTACCAGCTCCGCCTAAAAGGCCAGCCCATTTCCGACGATTTTTACTTCTGCCTTCTTTCTTTAACGTACCACTATTGCTGCTTTGATTTGAAGAATCTAACAATAAACCATTAGTTAATCAAATGGCCAAACCAAATGTGTACATCATATCATCATAGCCGTTTATTTATTGAATGTTTAATAAAATAACTACCAAAGGACTGTTCAGCCGAATGACTAATTATTGTTGAATTAATTTGTGACGAAACGTTTGAACTGCTGCTAACATCTAAAGCGACGTTTTTTACCGGAGTGGTTTCCTTCTGTGGTTTAACCACGTCTTCTTTTACAGGCTGAGGCGGCGGCACTGGTTGAGAAACTTTGGTAGGTGATTTAATCTCTGGAGCCGACTGCACACTGGCAGCCCGACTACGAACTTCCTTAGAGTTCCACAGCAATGGCACATTTTCGTATATAGGCTCAGTAAATTTAGCCACAACTAATTTTAAAAATATACAATAATATGTAGATTTGGTACATTGTAAAATATCATATTTCAATTGCCAATCAGATGCTTACCGTTATTACAATTATGAGGTTGTTCGTTAACGAGCAAACCAGTGTGTGGCTGATTTAAAATTGGTCCATATTGACCCATATAGTACATCATGTTGTTACCATTAAAACCACTTCGAAGTTCGTTTAAATTCTAAAACGTGTCAAATCGATTTGTGAGTACATAGTAATGATAGAATACAAAATTGGTTATACCTGTCTTGATCCCAGTAAAGCGTTCAGATTCGTGTAGGTCCTATGGGTATCCGTGTTGGACAGCATATGGCTAGCATTGTATCGTTGTGGTGCAACATGAAAATGATGAACCCTGGATGACAACAGGTCTGGACTAGAGCCACTCACCTGTAGAGTATTATGTGATTATTCTGTTGTGAACACGGGAAAAAAGTATTTTTTTTGTAACTTACTGGATTTTGAATATACCCCAATGGATATGCTCTGGCTAAATCCGGTGTACTATTACTTATCGGATAGGGTGGTGGTGGCTTATATATTTGTACATACTCAGAATCTCGAGTAGAAATATCTAAATCTGATGTTTGTCTGAAAACATAACGATAAAAATGATCATTGATTAGGTGTTGGCCAATTTCAAATTGGATATCGAAATAATAATAACAATAGGTACACACCCGTGAATGGGACGATCAGTCGATGCCATGTTGACCTGTGTCACATCAGGAAATTGTTTATAATCATTGTTAAACTATAAATACATAATAAAAAAAATTATAATAATAACATTATTATACACATGATATATGAATTTTGTTGAAAAAGCAATAAATATAAAAAAACGGTAAATCATTAAAATTCAATTAAAAATTCAATTAATTAAATGTTATTATAGTTCAGATATAAATAAGATAATTTTACGATGCAATACTATCATTGCTCATATAGATTATAGAAGAATGTAAAATCAATTTAAATTTAAATACAGGGCGATTTAGACAAGATGAACCAGACATTATCTCAAAAGATAACACTTAATCGTTTTTTTTTAAAATTATGATAGGCTTATTTAAGAAAAAATATGATGTATAGTCTAAATATCATCATCAAGCTTAACAAGCTTTTAGGCTGAATGCTGCCATCATGAGATGATATGTTTCTAGACCTATTCGCTGTCTGGGACACGTCGTCAGTCCGTCGCTGAAAATATCTTTTGGACAATTTTCTCTAAGTTATTACAAATTATATTTCTAAATACCAAACTATTTTAAACATTTTTTTGATTGCAAATATCTTTAATAAAAATAATTACTAAAATTATAACAGTTACCTGATGAAGATTGATGTCTTGATGACTAATTGATGTAGTAGGAATCAAATTAGCATTCTGATTGAAGTAATTGCCTTGTAAATATTTACGCTGAACAGCAGTTTCATAATCAGGGGCCAAACGATAGGAAGGCAATTTTGATCTATTCACAAATATTATTTTATTTTATAAAAACCATAACAATGACGTTAAATTTATTTTCAGGCTCACATTGACTTATGTCCAGTTTTGTCTAATCGAAATTTTTCACTGGTTTGCGAAGATAAATCCAAACAAGAGGTTGATTGAGCACGGATACCGTTCAAAGAAAACGGTCCTCTAATAACATTCGAGTCAGGAGTATCTATTGCATCTAATTCATCGCGGCTGCTGTCGGCATTATTCTGAAATCAACAAATATAATTGTAATTGAAAATTATACCAGAGTTGTTATAACTGTAAACCTCACATCAATTTGCATATCTAAAGACTTTCCTAATACATCGGCTTTGTTGTCACCAGTTTGATCAATTTTTTCATACAATCCGTAAAACCTATGCTAAATTGTTAAAAAAACACGTCAATAATCAGTAAAAATAAACCAAAAAACTATCAGCACAACATTATTAAGTTGACACTAGACAGCAGTATTATGATTGAACTGTAAAATAATTATATATACCTGTAAAATACACATGCTCCATACATATTTAGCAGTTTCCACATCGTTGCACTGAAACTGTATAAAATTGTCATGTTGTCCTTCCATGCTAAAATATCTTTTATGGTTTATTACATTTGCTATATCTTCCCATCTATGAAATTTTATATACATGTATTGATTACGTGTCAGAGTTAATAATTATCTATAGTAAAAACACTCACTGATAAACTGTTACCGTTTTGTTTTGATTTTGTATGGTTACACCTTTGAGACTTATAGCTAATGCAACTTCAGCACTATTATCGTCCTAGAAAAATATTTCCTGGTAAAATCTTATAAATATATTTTTCCCCCTCCGTTTATTTTATATACTTTAACGTGAAATTTTTCCTGTCCGTATCCTTCTAGATGTTGTGCAGCAACAATATAATACTCTTCGGCAGTCCCTTGGGGTAAACCCGCCAAAGCCAAGTGTTGACAGATAACAGCTTCGACGAGACTCTCCAGGCGCTCTTGTTGTGTTAAATGCTAGTTTCAAATAAAGATAAAGCTGTCATTAAATTTAACAAAATAACACCATTTAGTTAAAAAAAAAAAAACACTCAAAAATAGTGTAGCTGACAAGAGAACAATAAAAGTATAATATTTCTAATACCTTTGGAAATAAGGCAAAGTCTTTAAGATATTCTGACGTATGCTTTTCTAAATCGTGGTTTCCAAATTCGGCTAAAACATAATTCAAAATGTATAATTAAAAAAATATTTATATATTTTTTTTTAGTACAAAATAATAATAAATAAGATTATGTGATGTTATTACCTTGCATACTATAACTAGCTAATAATACTGCTTGATCAGCATCGCATATGATGCGACCTTCGATTACATCCATTTTTAGTTGAAGAAAAAAGTGATATCTAAATATTTAAATTCAAATAAGAATGTATTAGCAAAATATTCACCAAGTTTTTTATATTAGTATATATTCAAACAAATATTAATAAAGCATTAATTATAAGTTATAACAGTTCATTAACATGAAGTAAACCAATAATACACTTATCACATACTGTCATTGTCAAATTGTCTAAAACGTTTACCTAAAAGTGAATATACTGTTCTCCTATGTGAATAAGGAAAACCAATTTACACTTTCCAAAAACATTATTAAAGCCTCTTATGTGTTTATTTACTTCAAATTAATAATAAGTTAAGGATAAATTAACATAACAGATTTATCATTTGAAAAAGTATTACTTAAAAACCTTAGTACCATATTTTTTTGGTATAAAACTCTTTTCTCTAAACTAAATGAACTTCTTACTTCACTATATGATTTAAAAAATGTATGAATCTCAATTACAGAAATGCGATATCATGAGCTATTACTGTTAAATAACATAAAAAGAATATGAGAAATAGATAACAATTAATAATAAAATGTAATTAATTAATTAAGTTAAATTTAATTTATTTAATTGGATTTTTGTATTTTATAATTAAATTTAAAGATTTCAGACTGGCTATGAGTAATATTCAAGTGATAAACACGAAAAATAGAAACTTATTAGAATATCACAATAGGGATTTTTTACTTTGCTTCAAGTCATTAATATTGCTAATACCTATTTTTTTTTTTTTTAGTTTCTTTAAGTAAATAGTATTATTATTATTCCAATTTTATAAATAATAGACATAACAGTTTACATACTATCGTACGTTTTAAGCGGTGTCCACACGGCACACCTAAACTCTTTTTAATATAAACGTTGTGGCCAATATTGTTTCTGTGTAAATTTATAGATTTACAACTGCCAAATGAGAAACGAGCAACAATTTTGATAACAATGTTAATGTTTCTTAAGCAAAAACAATTAAAAAATAATGTTAAATAAGTACTAACCTAGTCATTTCATCCTTTATAAATGTTACATTAGACACATAGTACATCACTCTTAAATAAAGGCTGAAATGGCATGCAAACTTATCCAATTGTCGTTTTAGAGGTCTGCTTAAATCTACCCAACGAGGATTACCACTACGTGATATGTAGCGCAATCCTAAAATTTCTGGCTGTTAATAACAACATAATACAATTTTATTAATTAACTTAAAAATTAAATACTTGATAAATATAATATTAAATGTATACAACCAATACCTGGTGTAAACCCAGTCTTTGACAAACGCTGTCTAAACATTCTTGTCCCACACTTTCTGCAGAGAGTGTACATTCTATTGACGTACTATCCAACAATTCAACACAGATGACATACAACGATTTTGATACAACGTTGTATTGTCGACTTTTTTTTAGGCGTATTTTGAATGGCATTGTAGATTTCTTCTAAAAAAAATTAATTAAAATTAGTAAGTTATATTGTAAATATTTTATGAAAAACATATAGTACTAATTTAGGTATATAATTTAATTTACCAACATCGTTTAAAGTAAAATTAGTAAAATAAAACACTCGGAGTACTTACAGCATTTCTTATACTAAATTATTATGTACACAATTGAGTAAACATTCATATAGATGACAGTATCGGTGTTAAATCAATAAAAATATAATTTATTGTATTTCTCATTAAACTTTTATGAAATAATGGTGCTAAATGATTAAAAATCAAGCACTATTTAAAATAATACTGATTATGGTAACATCTTGTGCCATCAATATTAGGTCATATTTTATTACAGTAACTTTCAAATTATCATTTTTTTATCACATACTGTAAGTTTGTACACAGACAATACTGTTTACCAGGTATAAAATGTATGAAAATAAAAATATGAATACTCACTTTGATCTATACATGCCCAACAACTAGACACAATAAGTACGTGCCCACTTATAGTACATAGGTATATACTATTTCTAGACGAAATAGCTGGTGTCCACTTGACAAGAGGTCAAGTGAAGACTCTGCTCTTGAGCATGTTTATTCGCCTGACTCAAGTGGTAGGCCAATTATACATACCGATTAACCATTTAGACGATGGTTTATATTAAGTTTTTAAAATCACAATTATTATAATATACGCTAGAAACGAGAAAATTCACTTCTCAGATTACTTGACAATGGTAACGACACGACGTGAGAACTCAAGACAAAATTGATAACGTAATCATTTATCATGCCGTTAGTAACGACGTCGTACAGTGTAGCCAACCAAAATGGGTGCGGACATTTCGACGACACAGTACATAGATTTTTTATTTCCGTTTTTTAAATTTTACCATCCATTTCAAAAATCTTTGAAAAAATACTCTTAAAAAGACTTCTTCACATTGCCACTTAAGCCAACATTATCCCAAACACCCAATTCAGTTTCAGAGCCCCCCACTCGACCACCCACCAACTTCATCGCACTGTCGATAATATTTTAAATGCACTGGAGAAAAAAGAATTCTGCCCCGCCGTATTTCTAGACGTCTCCCAGGCATTTAACAGGGTCTGGAACGATGGCTTATTATACAAATTAAAAAAGTTCCTCCCAGCTCCCTATTACCTTCTAATTAAATCATACTTATCCGACCGTTCCTTTACTATTCGTCTCAAAAATAGCTACTCAAGACGCTATTCTATCAAAGCAGGTGTCCCACAAGGAAGTGACATAGCTCCTTTCCTGTACTCTGTGGTTACCCACGACATACCAAAGACACCCTACACATTCCTTGGCACATATACGGATGATACATTAATTTCAGCATCACACCACGATCCTCAAATTGCTAATCAGATGCTCCAAAACCATCTCAATATGATTAATTTATGGGCAAACCGTTGGAAAATAAAAATAAACGAAGCCAAGTCCACTCAAGTAACTTTTACTCTGCGCAATGCCGACTGTCCACCCGTTTCGTTCAACAATAAAGTAATACCAGCAGAAAATGAAGTCACCCTCTGTTTTCCTCGGCGCAGTTATCGCTGCGTGGGTGCATGTGAAAAAAAAAACGTCTCCATAATAATGGCCATTAATAAAAGGTGTTTGGTTATCTATTAGTTAACATTTTGTGTTTTAATGTTTAAAGATTGTGTACAACTTTGTTTGAATATCCAATGTCGTGTCGCCCATGTGTCAGTTGCAATGTTCAATTAACGATCATTTTTGTATTTAGTTTCAGTGATTCCAAAAGTTACTATTTTACACTTATCCAGTATCCCCCTTTGACCGAACACCACAGAAATAATTAATATGTTATACCATTAATTTAACATGTATTTATAATCAATGGTTCTACTAAGGTTAGCTGAACGAGTAGCGACTCTATAGTCAGCCCAAGGCACGGTTATAGATAAACGGTTATAGTTTATCTATAACCGTGACCCAAGGTTAATGTTGTTGATAAGATTTCTTAATTGATAACAGGTGTGTTATCTTAAATTATCATTGGTAAAAATAACTTACCGGTATTCTTGAATAATTATTCTTGTTCACAGTAACAGGTAACTTGAATGGTATGATAAATTTGTAAATTGAATTTCATTAAAATCACATTTAATTATTCCGTCGCAATTGAGATATTGTTAATAGCAAATAATTTGTTGATAAATCTTATCTAATCTTTTTTTTTTTAATTGATTCTTTAATTCTTATGTGAATATTAAATTAATAGTTTTATGATGTATTTAGATTAGTCTATACAACGCGACTACCAGACTAAATAAATTAGTGTTTGTTTCTGTTATCGTTATAAATGTTAAGACGTAAATCAAATAAATTCTGTTTACAAGTTTTGTGTAGCTACAAATTTAGAATGGCTTCCTCAGAATCTTCAGGTAAATTGTTTATAATATTTGGCAACTTAAATAAAAAATTATTGAACTTTATAAATAAAAAACAATTTTTTGCAAAGGTTTTCGCACAGCTTTATTACAAATGACAGTGACTGCAGATAAAAAAGCAAATGTTTCGATGGCTTTAAAACGGATTGAGTTAGCTAAAGCTAATGGTTGTACTTTAGCCATATTACCAGAATGCTTTAACTCGCCTTATAATACAGGTATATGAAACTATGGTTAAAAAGTTTTTACTATGTTCATTCAATTTTATCGCATTTCGTTTAGCTTTGTTCAAAAAATATTCAGAATCCGTTCCTGATGGTGAAACTTGTCAGGCATTATCACAGGCTGCGAAAAAAAATAAAATTTACATTGTAGGCGGATCAATTCCAGAATTATGTGACAATAAAGTTTATAATACTTGTACAGTGTGGGATCCTAATGGTAATTTGATAGCTAAACACAGAAAGGTAATATTCATTCTTTATTTTTAATGTACTTACATATTATGTTAATATTAAACTTTTTTAAAATATTATGGAATTATAATTCATGTATAAGTATAAAAATAATTAAATGTATAAATGTTTTTAGATGCATCTATTTGACATTAATGTACCAGGTGGTATGTGCTTTAAGGAATCTGATGCGTTAACAGCTGGAAATACTATAAACACATTTGAAATAAATTCTAAAAAAATTGGTTTAGGAATATGTTATGATATGCGATTTCCTGAAATGGCTACGCTATATCGAAAGAAAGGTAAAATAATTACTCTATTACATTTATTGTCAATACAAATTCTTAATTTTTCTAATTTTTTAGGTTGTGATATGTTAATATACCCAGCTGCATTCAATATGACAACAGGCCCACTACATTGGACATTGTTAATTAGAGCTCGTGCCATAGATAATCAGTTATTTGTTGCAACCGCATCGCCTGCTAGAGTTACCGATTCTAAATATGTAGCTTGGGGACATTCAATGATTGTAGATCCATGGGGTAAAATATTAGATGAAGCTACAGAGAAGGATACAGATTTATATATAGATCTTGGTTAATATTTTTCTTAACAAATCTTTTACACTTAATTCAGCTCAATTTTTTTTATTGAATATATTAATTTTATCTTACAGATTTTTCAGCTAGGGAAAATATCAGACAGCAAATACCTACCGAGTTTCAAAGAAGAACTGATTTGTATGATACAGTCGAAATAAAAAATAAATATTAAATACTATTTGTCATAAAAATAGTTTGCCATTAAAATCCTAACTATATTAACTAATAAGTTACCAAATAAACAATTATTACTTATACTACCTTTTCTGTTAGATATTAATTTAAACAGTTATTTGTAGTTTTTTTTATTAAATGTTTATAATTTTCTGTAGTTTTAGGACAAATATATGTACATGTATTATTAAATTTCGAATTTAAAAGGTACAGATAATGTGATAGCTGTTCAAGAATAATTATTAATAATAATTGAGCAATATATCATATATATATATATATATATATATTATATTCTTCAATAAACACATATTACATTACATAGTTCTAAATAATATAATATGTTTATCTGACTAAATCTCAATTACACTAGTTAAAGTGAAACAGAAAAAGAAATAAAATTATGATTTAAATGTTCACATAAGTAAACAATTCTATTCATTATGATCAGGTTATCAGTGTAGTGTTAGTGTTAGTATTAGTGTTCAGTATTAGTGAACAGAATATCTGTGTTATAATAGCATAAGTTAATATGTTGCTTGTTGAAAATTGTATTTTAATTACACCTAACCGTTATATTTTAGAATAAGGGACTGGACAAAGTTGAAAGGGGCAAAATATGTTATGTCTGAATGCATTCATTATCAAGTTATGGATGCTGGTATTTCAATATAAATAGTTTGAGTTGATTTCCATAAATTGTATGTCTCCTTCTCCACTCAAAAAAAAAAAATATATATATATATAATGTACTCATATATATAAGTCCGGACGTATAATACATTGTATACTATAATAATTATTAACTGCTCACGTATTATAAGTCTGGACTTGTTATATTATAAGTTATAACACTATGAACCATGATAAGGTTAGCATAGAACAGACAAAATAGTATATTCTTTGGTATTAGCATCATATTATTATGACAGTTGAGTGTTGACACTCCCTTGACAGATGATTACCAACTTCCTCAGCTGACAGCCACCTGTTTGACTGTCTCTCATGAGTCGTGACCTTGTATTTTGTAAGCAAATGTGTATTATATATATATATATATATATAAAAGAACAACATTATTAATATAAGAATATAAAGCGAGCTGCCTAATTCGTGTAGCCAATACATCACAGCATACTAATCAATCGAATGACACAATTTTTGTAATATAATAATAAATAATATAATGGTAACAAAACAAAATATGAACATTGATATTTTTAAGTTAAACAAAATAATAAGCAATTTATTATTTTGATTCTAGCAGGCAATTAATCTACTGCTAATATTGCAAACACAAAAATAAAAGATAATAAAAATATAATTCAGATCCAGATATACAAGTGGTAGTTAATGACTTGCCTCTAATTAACTTACTCTAGGGAGTAAATTTATTATTCATTAAGAGAGTTTGGTTGTCTGTTATCGTAATCTTTAAAGACATTGATGATATGTTATCAGTTAACACTTTTTTAATAAATAATAATATTTACTTTATTGTTTAATTTTCTAACACAAAATATTGATAATTGTGAATTTTATATACTTTTTGTTATTAAATTATTGTGCTCATTTTATTAAAATAGTAGAACATAACTGTGTTATAACCTTAAATTTAGGTTTTTCATATTTTAAATATTAAAATTTAGTTTTTTTTTAAAATGTCAGACAAAGCAATGCTAGTGCTCGGAGAAGCACCAGAGTCTGATGACGAAAACCTACAAGATGTAAAACATTACCTCCTATACAATTTACTTGTATAAATTATTAGATTGTTAGATTGAGTGTTCGGTTTTTATAATTTTTAGACTGAAGCAAATAAGAGCGATAACATGTTTTATTCAAATACTGAAAATAAAGCCATGGGAAATGATTTAAAGGAACTGGAATTGGCTATGAACTATTATGGTCACACTACTATGAGTGAGTTGATATATTTTTTTATTTTGGTACGGTACAAATGTACAATCTGTGTTTGGGTCAGTATGGACGGTTGAGTGAAGACTACAGTGTATTATGTTCATATACTTTATGGTAGTACTTTTTGAACAAAACCGTATAGATAATGTTATTTTTTCAAGCCTCAATCAGGTATAGTTTGCAATGAGTCAACAGTTATGCAGAAATCCTATAATCTGCCCAATCAAACTGTAATCTGTTCAGCATATTCATAATTTTGAAGTATAAATAGGAATTATTTTTTATCATAGAACAACATTTTTTTAGATCAAAATAAATTGGATTTAGATATATACATTTTTGACCAAGTTATAACTTATTAAAGTTAAAACACATTTGAAGAAAAAAAAACCGTTCCTGTATAAAATCGTCCATTTTGTTATAAGATATAGAATATTGAGCACTTTATGGTCAGTAACTGTAGGCTTCGCACACAAATAAACTTTAGTGGTTTCCGGAGCAATTTAAATAAAAATTATAACTTATTTAATAACAAATATGATAAATCTAGTTTTTAATCGTTTTAAATCTTGTTAATGAAATGCCAATGTACAGCCTATAATAATGTTCATAATTTAAGTAATTATTTTATTAGGAGGTGGACGAATTAGACGAAGAAAAGAAGATCATAATGAACAAGCTGATAGTTTTAAAATGTCAGAAGATACACTACTTCATCGAAAACTAAGTATAACATTTGTCACTTATGTTGTTACTCGAATACAATAATTGACATCATTAAATCATTTACAGAAGAGAAAAACATGCAGTTTTACTCAAATCTATCGTCATTAAGCAAACAGATGTTTGTAAATGCTGTAAATCAAATAAACGAAACAGACCAACAGTTAGTTAAAGCTCAAGTATTACTTCAAGATACAGTTACCAGTTGGAAATACATTGAACAAAATTTGTCCCATATAAAGAAAAAAATGACAGATATTTTATCTGAAGAATACATACCTAAAGTAAACATTTAATAAGTTTACTAAGTTAATACTTAATACCAATGGTAAATAAATAATAAATACAAATAAATAGTAAAAATAAATGTTAAGAATAATTGTACTGTTTTATTATTATAATCGGCAGATCAATGTAATATGAATATATAAATTTAATATATATGTATTTATAAAAACTTAATAGTACTGATAATTTTAGAAAACAAATTTACATTTTCGATTCACAGGTCATTATATCTTATATTTGAGTACTAAATCCTACTTTACAATACTATTATACAAGTTATGGTTATAAAATATATTGGCAAATATTACATAGTATACATAATATTACATAGTAGACATTTTCAAAAAGCCAAAACAAAAAAATGTACTACTTCAAATTTTACATTAGTAAAGTTGCTAAAGTCAAACAGCAGCTCTACGTTTAATTGACATTTTGCCTTTTGAAAGATAAGACAGGTTAATACGAAATTTGCTATTGTCTGCGGTTTTCTTTACCCAAATCTAATAAAAAAAAAAATACATATAGTATTAAAAATAAAAACCTGAAAAAAATTTGTCGAGTAAATATTTTTTGCATTGAATAGTTTTGAAAATGTTTGCTTACAGTTTCATTTCCTATTGCGGATATGACGGCTGCAAATTTTGAAATTTGTCTTCCTTCAACAAACACAGGTTGACCTCGATGATACCTAAGCATTAGGTTATTGTGATTAATATCATAATTTTTTAATCACGAGAAGAGAACATTTTATATCAACTTGTTATTAAAAATAGCATTATGGAACTTTAACCTTATTAAGGGGTTAAGAATGTTTCAAAAACTTAATTATTTTGTTTTTGCATTTTCTTGTAGATATTTATTTAAAACTTAAAAATTGTATTTATTTATTTTATTTTGAAGAATGCATTTAGTAAAACCTAAGTGTAAAACTTCAAACGCGTTTTTTTTTATACTATCTTTTCAAAGACACTGACCACTACATTTAAAAACCACTCTGAAGGATTTCAATACATTTATACAGCTTATTCTAGGCTTGAAAAACTAGTGCTAAATCAAAGGATTATTTTTTTTATATCAATATTTTTTCTTTTCTTTTTTTATAAACAAACAAGCGCTTTTTTCCTTGAAATGCGTACATTAACTTTCAGAGGCTGTCCAATTTGAAAACAAAAAAACTTCTATTAATTAAGCATTAGTTTTCCATGCCGGAATATGCTGTAGATGATAAATATCATTGGAATCCGTCAAGAGTGGTTTTTAAATTAAATTAATGGTCACCGCAAGGAACTATTTGTAAGAGAACGTTCAATAGTCAAGCAGATAACATGGTCCAGAATTCATATTTTGATTTGAAATTTCTATAAAATTTTCTTGAAATATAGTGTAAAAACTTGATATTACATGTCAAACAAATAAACATAATACAACAGTTTAAAAAAATTGTTTTAAATGCCTTTTTTTTAAACTCTCTTGATTATCTCTAACCCCTCAAATTAAATCAGACATTCTATTAAATGTATAATTCATGAATCACAAAAGTCGTATTATGTACAGCATACATAAAACAAATGTTCATACCATCTTTTTTCAAACAACAATTTTCCATCTTCAATCCTTGTATCTGGGATGGCCGACGACCCTTCAGTATCAGAAGTTTGGCTTTTTTTTGGACTCATATTTCCAGTAGAGGAACCCGAACTCGGCAAGAAACCTAAAAAAAATTTTTATTCAAGCATAACTTCCACACATGAATATAATATTCAAAATGATCATTTTTATTAATTAACAGTAATTTACCTGGTTTCCTAACAGATGAAGAATTTACTGTGTCACGTGGCTTAACTGTAGTGGTAGTGGTAGAAGCCGAAGATATTGATGCTAGTGCTTCTTGTATTGCTTTTACATCGTGATCAATTTCATTTTCGTCGAGCATATAATCAATACTTGATACAGGAGGCGGTTTTCGACGTTTTTCTTGAGGAGCTGGTACTACAGGGTCATTAGGCCTTCTACGGAGTTTTCTTGTCATGGCTGGTTTTTGGTCCGTCGAGTCAGATGCTAGAAAAAAACATTAAGAACTAAAAGTTGAAAAATTGACACAACTATTGGTTTAAGTTCGCTTTAAAGCAACACCATTTTTTTTTTGCAATTTTGTATTGCCATCTTGAAGTGTTTTTTATGCTCATTACGAAAATATCAGAAAACTACAAATTCCTCTAGTTCGAAAGTTATAGATACTTGAACCATGTGAATCATTATTGCACAAAACTTCTGCGCCACTTACCTCACCATCTATTTCAAAATTGAACAGCCATAACTTTTTAACTAGAGGAGGATGCAGATTTTTTTTGATTTATTTATTCATAAATTGACGCCTTCCCAATAGGCAAAGAGTACAGTTAATACAAATACAAGTAGTATTAACAATGTGACAATTAATATTCAAGGAAATATAAAAACAATAAAAAAGAAACAATTATACATGTACAGGGTGGCCCACAAAGATTTGACGAAATAAATAACTTTTGTTCTATTGAATATTTTTGAGATTCTTTTTTAAAATAAATTATACTCATTTGCGCTGTAAGCACCACGGTTTTTATTGCACTTACCTGTTTTACTTAATTTAATTTTTTTTTAAGTAAACCGCGTAGTTATTTTTATCTGCGCGCGTTACCTACAGAACTCCACCTCCCGTCATCAGTCATCCACACTTTCATAAGAATATAACTTTTGAACGAATGAATAAAAATACAAATTTTTTTCACCAATTATTTTTTAAAAATTATTTTGAATAAAATGGCTATCTTGAAAAAAAATAAAAAAATGTAATAAAAAAAATAAAAAAGTAAAACAGGTAAGTGCAATAAAAATTGTGGTGCTTATAGCGCAAATGAGTATAACTTATTTTTAAAAAAAAATCTCAAAAATATTCACTAGAAAAAAGTTATTTAATTTGTCAAGTCTTTGTGGGCCACCCTGTATATATATATATATATATATATATATATATATATAAATACTTTAACAAAACCGATCTCTTTTTCATGGCTAAAGAATCATAAAAGAAATTAACTTAAGAACAAATTTCATTGCACTCCATTAGCATTAGGTTGACAAGCGCGAAATAATTATAGCTTTGACGAACAGGGAAATTATAAAATAATGTACTAAATCGTAGGTAAACTGAGGTAACGTTTAGAGGGATAATGTCAAGTTTTTCTGGACAATCAAATTTACTATTCAATAAACCATGTATTCAACAGACGTCAAAGGTTCGCTGCCGCTAGCTAGACTAGCAATTTCTGACTAAAATGTACTACATTTTAAATGAACATTAAATGAACAAAAAAAAAGGTGTAAACTTGTTCCCACTTATAATTTTAAGTACATACTAAGTTCCATAGTCATATTATCATGTTCAATTGCTTTTTTCCTTTCATTTAATTCAGTAACCAGAGTCTCTGTCAAATCATTGTTGCGGTCTTCAAACTCTTTGTGTGCAAGTCGACGTTCTTTTACATATTCTCTTTCAATTGATTCAAGCAAACAATCTCGCCATATATTGTTCATCAATAAACTAAAAAAAATTAAACAAATAACTTAACAAGGTCAGTTAATGATACAGAACCTAACTAAATATTCTTTTACAGGTTTTTTTGTTGGGCCTCTAATTTTTTCAACTGCTTTACATATTCTACATGAGTGCCCTCTTTCAGTTGTTGTAGTTGTTTTTGAATTCCAGCTAGCTTGTCTTGATAAACTCTGCAAAGAATAAAAATTATTTATAAGCAATACAGTTCTAATCATACTTTTGCTAATGGTTACTGTTCTTGTATTTCAGTATGTTTCTCGCGGTTTTCTTTGCCTTCGTCTGAAAATAAAAAAAAACGTAACAATATTGTAAAAATTGTAGGATTACTATTAAATTTACCGTCGGAATCTGAGATATCCTTATTTCCAATTTTGTTGCTTATTTCGTCGTCATCCAAGGAAAACGAAGAAGTTGGCGACACATTGATGTCACGGAGAGACATAATCATAAAAATATGAAAAATTTACAAAATAAATTCGTAAACACAATACTTAATAATAGGTTAGGTTAGACAAAACAATAGATATTATACTGGAATATATTTTTCGATATTCCATTACTATTGTGAGATATCTAATTTCTTGTACCTATAAACAAAACAAGTAAACTGAAAATTGATAAATGATAATCACTGTTATCACGCCAACTACTAATATTTTACCACAAATAAACCGTGGTAACTACGCTTTACCAAAGACTTTACAACTAAGCACAAAAATTGAATGAACCGCATTACCTATGCGTTAATTTAAACTTTTTAATTATATTAGATGATTTTTAATGTATTAATTAATTATTAGTTCATTTAAAATATTTGCTTACACTATTTAAGTTATGTCAATAATTAGTTTTGTTTTTAGAAATTATTAGTTAAAATTTTAATTTTTAGGTATTTATATCAAATACATCGTCATAACTCATATTAGAATTGTAAAAACAAAAACCATTTTCGGTTTCTTGTACTCATTGACAAAAGCGCTTGAACACTGAATACTTTTTTTTTTTTAATGCAAATTAATTTCGTATAAGTTTCATTACAACTGGACATCAAAACACCGCACCTTGCCTTGAAAGTTAAATATACAAATTTAAATTCTTCTAAAATTTGGAGTCTATTAACAATTTTGTACAACTATCACAGTATGGTATCAAAGGGATTATATATAATTTCTATACAATAAACAACAATTTTCAATAAATTAACCCTGTACAGAAGCATATATTTTTTTTTTTATAAAAACCAAATGGCAACAAGAATATTAAAAAAAAATAGGTTTGTTTATATAAATATATTTTTTTATACTTTAATATATATTTGTATAGAATAATAAACTTAAAAATATAGCTACTATGTAATTAACATGAGCAATTTGACTGAGGAGAATTTGTTTACAATAATATTAGAATAATTAGGCATCTGTAGTTACTCGTGGTAATACGTGTGCTTGGACTCCTTTACTTGCGTTATACACTTGACAAGAGGAAAAAGGAGCCATCTTAGATTCTAAAATAATAAACACCAAACATTATATACATGTTAATTCATTATAAGTAAGTATTGGCATTCGTACTTGAAGTATAATAAAATAAATGTAATTATATAACAAATGAAAATGCATTATTTTTTATCCAGTTTTTTGACACAGTATTTGTATTTAATGGTAACTGTTAAACTAATAGATTGGTATAAAAAGTACAAAAATTAACTTACCAATATTTTGACGCATATTAGAAGGATAATATTGATACAGGTTCAATGTAGGTATTGGCAAAAATCCACTTATCAATGGCATTATTTCAATTGATACACTTTGAGTTAATGAATTAGGGGAAAATGTAATAACATCTGAAAAACAACAATAAATTGCAAATTTTAATACGTTTTAGGTATATTAAATTATTTTATATAACAAAATATTAAATATTTTATACATTTTATAAATATGATGAGGATAAACATGCTTAATGATTATATTACTATTTTATACTCATTGTTTTTGCATCAATACATACTAATATTTTATACAGCAAACTTAAACTTTTTTACAAACAATTTTAAATGTACATACCAGATCCACGTCCACAAACTGCCCACATAGTTTTATCCGCAACAATTTCATATTTGAATGAAATTTCTCCGATTGGATTATTTGGTAGAGCAGTTCTTTTAAAATTTGCTATATATGAACAAACTGTGTTTACACGACAGAATTCTCCATTTTTCCCGGCCATTTCAACACCACTTTCAATCACCACTTGAGTCTATTTTAATATTTATATATTATAATTTATAAAAATCATTTGATGATAAAGTTTATCAAATTAAAACAAATGTAAATTACCCTGTAATTGTTAACCATAAACTCATATTTTAATTCATGCGAACTCTCTTCTTGATGGGTCGATGAATATTTTAGTTGAAAATTAAATTTAAGGGGCTCAATTAGAGTACCCATTGTGTTGTTTTCTGTAGATGACAAATCAATTTCCCACAAATAACCAATCGTTTCACCATTCTTCAAATGCTAAAATAAAAAAATGATTTTATAAAAAACAGTTTAGATAATTCATCAAGTCCATCACCGTATTAAAAAAAAAAAAAAAAAAATGACAAAATAAATAGCTGACAATAATTACAATAGGTTACTAGTCTAATAAACAAAACTAATTAAATAATAAAAATTTGCAAAAATTACAAAAAATAAAATTAGTGCTGTTATTTTGAGGTAAATACCTCTGAAGGGGAACAATAGAAGTTCTTCAAGTCCACAGCATGCACTCTTCAGCCTAAATTTAAACCCCTCATATTATATATAACCCAATTAAAAAAAAAACCAGATAAAGTAGACATAAAAAATTACAGATGACTTGTAATGTTAATAAATATATTAACTTATACTTACAGTTAGTGTGTCAAACGACGGGTTCAATGAAGTTAATTTGACAGCTGTAATGGTAGGAGGTTGACTGACCCCAATGATTGTGGGTTTAGTCAATGCCAAGGGCCACTGAGTGTGACAACATATGTTAATACCAATAAACTTGCGAAACTCACATGTATGTATGCGATGAAATACGGTTAGTGGCAGACTAAAGTCAATAGAAACGCACATCACTTCTTTGTTATCGGATAAATTATCACATTTCACCCATAACTAAATAATGCATATAACAATTTTAATTATAAAAATAAAAGTATCAGGAAATATTATAGAATTCCATAGTAATGATTTACTTTATGTTGCACAGTCCCAGAATGATCTTTTAATGGGGGTAGTAGCGCCAACAGTGTTATGGGCACAGATAATGAATGTCTCGAGTTTATTTTTAATAAAGTTGGATCGATATAAGCTTCAGAACTGAAATCGGAATCATCGGCGAGACAAAAAGTCAGGCCAGGTGTAGAATGTAACCTAATTTTATCAATGATCTAAAATATGTATATTTTACTATTTTAGCAATTAACAGTTTAATCATGTTGTAATATATTATATATACTTTTTTTGATTTTGTGCCGAACTGAAGACAAAGTATAGATACTTCTTCGATCCCAGCAAACAATCGTTTTCCATCGGAGAGATTGAGCCAGGCTTTAGGAGAAGTATTTTTTAACTCAAACATTAGAGTTGGCATGTTGGTCAACAGTTCTAGTTTATGTTGAACAACAATAGACATTTTATCGAGAAAATAAACTCCAGATTCCTTATTTTTTGAATCCTAAAAAATTATACAAACTATTTTAATATTCGATTGCAGACCAAAAAAATAAAAAATATTACTTTTTTTTTTTTTTCACTATAAAGAACCAATTTTATTTTGAATGTACTTACATGTAATGTTAAATTTATATTATTAATTCCTGGCACAATAGTCACATTCTCATCAGAAATTGTATCACAAAAGTCATTTTTACTACAAATAGCTGAAGGTTTCCTTCTTTGACTATCTTGTCGCCTGTAGAAATGTACCAAAATTTCCATTTTAAAAAATCACATATGAATTATAAATTGTTACATAAAGAATATCAAGCCTTGTTTAGCTTTGTCGTATTTATCTCCAAAGGTAAGCTTGACGAGGAGATAGGGAAACATCCGTACATTTTAGTATGTAATCATACATGTAGATAAATAACTTATCTAGTGAACAATTTAAAATACCAACATAAATAGATTAAATTTATTTACATCAAACAAACATTTTTTTAATGTACCAAACAAAAATTAAACTATAATACAGTTAACAGTTCCAAATTTTACTAATTCATATTTTTTGAACTGCTTTATTTTTATTAATTTAAATTATACATTTTTTTATTCTAAACAATACACAAATATATCCCAACCTATCCCACATAAAGATAATTTTGTTTACCAAGTTCTGTTGTACACATTTAGATCAATGTTTTTCAGTGGGTAGGGTAGATGCTGTGGGGCGGCAAACTTGTTAGTTTTTTTAATATAGAATACTTTTCAATCATACCATTTTTATTTGTATTATCAAATTTTTTTTTGAATTTTACAATTCAACACATTTTTACATGGGGGAAGGGGGGGGGCTGCTCAGGGAGAATGACAGTTTTAAAAAGGATGAGAACCACTGATGTAACAGACTAAAGAAATATTTTTCTACTAAGAAGGTACAAATCTTAAAAATTAAATTTGTATGTGTTTTTTTTTTCAAACAAAATAAATAAATACTACCTACCTTAGATACGATTTCATGTTTTGACACGAAGTACCGGTGGATGCCAAATGACCATCTTGTTGATATATATGATTATAAGTTATAGGTAGTCTATTACTTTTTTTAATATCGAAACTGTTTGTCGTATTTTTTGGCATAACAACTTTACTTTTTTTTTTCTTTAAGGTAGAGCCAAGAATTAACGATATGGCAACTTTTGGACAGACTATGGTTTTAGGCAGATTACATTTAAACTTCAATGACACTAGCAATGGAGATCCGTTTACATCATTACTGTTTTCTATAACTATCCGATCCAGTATAATGACATCATCCATTGGATACAAACATTCTATTAACAAATTACACAAATAAAGGTGTAACTAATTGTATAGCTTTAGAAGCAGTATTGGGCAAAATTTAAATTGAATAATAAATAGTGTTTTATTTGGGAATAAAACGATTCTCGTAACTCAATAAATAATAGACAATCTGTTTATTTTTTATTATTTAGAGAAACACATTATACTACCGAACTTAGTTCATTTCAAATTTATTTTAAAACACTTAAAATAATGAATAAAAAAATTATTGATCTAGTAATAAATAACAAATAATTTTGTCGTAACTAATCAAATAATAAACTGTGTAACAAAAGATAATTTTTTATTTATCGCTTCAGCTAGTTATTATTCGAATAATGCCCAATCTGTTTAAAAGATATCGATCGACTCTACTTAAATGCTTATTTTCTTTTGTTACTCACCTACGTTTGATACTTTAATCATATCTAATAACTGATCAAAATGGTCTTCCCTAACTTCTATGCTGCATTCAGACGAAGAAGCTATTTGTAAACATGTTTTTACGAATCTGAAATATACAAGTGATATTATTAAAAACTACACGTTTTACATTATAAAACAATTGGTCTAAACTATTTGTTAGTAAAGTAAATTTAAAAAAAAAAAACTTACTGATCAACATTTCCAATTTTTTTGAAGCATTTTACTAATTCTAAATTTGTTTGAACTGCTAATAACCTCCAATTATCTTGTTCAAACAGTTTGAGCGCTTTTACTAAAAACATTGTTCGCTTGGTGGTGTCTCCAGATAGCGTGTAAAATTGGGCTAATTCCAAACCAACTAAACTATGGGCACATCTCATTAGCTTGTTATGTTTGTAAGTGCTAATAGCTAATTCGGCAACTTCCTTGAAAATTATTTTTAAAAAATACAAAATGTATTTACTTACTTAAGGTAGACAGTTTATATCAGTTTATTTTTTATTTACCAAGTAATGTATACTAAACGCTTCCGATGACGAGAGGGCAGTTTTAAGTGTTGCCACCGATTCAGTCGCAGCAGACAAGTCATGGCCACTTTGCATGCCACTACATAAAACTTGTACGGTGTGAAGTTGTTCAGTGGTTTGGACATCACCTGGTAGTAAACCACATAAACTACCCAATTTGTATAACTATCATAACACAAATAAATAAATCATTAAATAACTCAATATCAATAAACAATTTGTTAAAGTATTGCATACTTTTTTTAGAGAATAATACAAAAGTGGAGCGGTGTGATATGAACACTCTTCTAAAGTCAATGAATTTTTAACCGACTGACAAATAAGCAGAATTTGTGTACAACACTGTAAAACCCAACATGCAACTGAACCAGGTGGACATTCGATTTCTAATGTCTTCAAATCACTAACTGCCTGATGGAGGAACTTTAATGCTCTTTCTGCTACCTAAAAAAAAAATGTAAGAACATCACAAAAGCTTAAGAAATTTATTGTAAATAATAAAAATATGTAAATACAAGCCAAGGCTTTGGAGCAGCCATTAGTAGAGATGCCTGGCGAGAAAATAAATAACATCTAAATTCAAGGAATGATAATTTTCTATTTTTAATGGCTTCTCTTTGACTCCGGCTAATTTTTTCCATAAATAATACGGCGGCCCAGCGTTCTAAAACACCTTGAAATTCAGTCAACCACTGAGGAACGTCTATAAAAATAAAAAATGAATATAAAATTACTCACGGTAAAGAAAAAAATGTAGTTGTACTTACTTCCAACTTGAGAATTCAATATGAATTGAGTAAACATGGCATCTAGTTCATCATACTGAATTAGAGCTTCATCATGGAGTCCAAGCATTTCTAGAGCAAAAGCCAATTCTTCCTAAACAAATTAAGTTAGGCGAAATATAAAAGTTCTTATCTACAGCTATTGAAACAAATGAGAATCAATTGAGAATTACCTGATATAAAAAATACTTGCAAAAACTCCAAGATGAATCATTACGCTGTTCCCGGTAATTTCGTATGTTATCTTCATATTTTAAAAATAATCTGTCAAAAGCAGATAAAGTTAGAAGACGAACATTGGTTATCAGTGCTCGCCAAGCACTACTACCACATCTTAATTCTGATTTAGGTGGATTTATAACGGATAAACATCTAAAAATATATAAATAAATATGCATGAAATAAGGTATACATGGTATTATGTGTGTCAATCGCAAACATATTTAAGCATTTAAAAAGTTCTATACTGCTTACCGATCTGCTTTCTTTTCAGCAAAGTCACTTTTGATTTTATCAAATACAGTTGTTCGAGGTAAAAGCTTGCTGTGTTTTCTCAGATCATAAGTTTCAACTACAATAATCACCCAATCAATTATGTTGTGTTTGTTCATTTCAGTCATCCATTTATCAATTTCATCTCTAAGTAATGATTTATAGACTTCCATATCCTAAATTATCAAATATATCAAGACATCTTGAATAAAATTTAACAATAAACCATAGATGTAAGATAATATTAAAATTAATATAGCCACCATAAACCATAAATTCATTCCAAAACATTTTTTTTAAAAATTGTATACATAAAAAGGTATATGCTAGATTAACCTTCAGCAGTCTAACTTTCAGACCATAATATAATTAAATGAAAATAAAAACAGAGTAACTTTGTGGATAATATAACATAATATAATGTTAAAAAATGTGTTAATTTTTAGACTGTTTTTTTGAGATTTTGAAATGGAAGGGTTGAATTATATCAACTTTTGGCCACAATATTTAAGTATACAATATAATGTATTATTTCAGATTTATTAACACATAAATCCAGTGATTAAAATGTCACTGAGGGAAAAATTAAACTTATTTCAGCTTTTCATTGAAGCTAATAGGTATGAAATTGTTGAAATAGAAAAAGTTATTATAATCAAAGCATTATTGTTTAAAATTCAATTTATAATTATTACAAATGCATATTTTATGTATCATAATTGAAAACTGTTAAGCTTAAATTTAAATTCTATTTCATTCTATAGTATTTTAAACAAAATACTGTAATGCCATACCAAACACTGTGTCCAAAATGTATGCATTATCGGCCGACCAACCAGATTTCGGCTACTAATCTGCTCAGCAACTGCATCCTTATTGAAAGGAACAAAATCCGTAGATAATGTGACTAATTTCATGGGTCTACCATACAAACGTCTCCATTCGATTGGTTCTTGGCCAAGTGATTGACTGAAAACGGTTTTCAACCCTTCGAACAATTCTTTGTCACCAGCATCTAAATAAAAGTATACATATAGGTAAAACATATTTTACCATTGAGAAAATAGTTCATACTTACATGTAATCATAGGCTTATGATCGGAAATGCAAAGGACATCACTACGAGTTGTAATGTTGCTAGACATTATTTCATGTTACAACTTATACGTTAATAAACACAATAAAAATCATTGTTCATTTAGCTCTAGACTCTGGCCAACAATAAATTGAGGCTTATTACATTGAGAAACAATTATTAGTAGCAATTAATTAAATGTTTTTTTTTGTACAATTGGCCTAATTTATTTTTAAATTTTGTTATCTTGTATCTATTTTTTATCAAAAAGTGACACAAATCAAACGATACCAATTGCGTTTGTTTTGAAAAAAAAATACCCAATTAAGGATAGTTAATAAAATAGTGATAACAGCGATAACGGTGATAACAGCGTAATGTCCGTTTCTGCCGGCGTATAATTGTTATTTGTTATTCTTATTGTTTTTTCAACAAATTTTATATTGTGTAGACTGTAGAATGTATTATGTTTTATTTTTCAATTTTAAATAAAAATATGTCAATTCCCCTCAAAAGTGAGTGCATTTATACATCATGTTATTGGTACGTATTTATTTATTCAGTCTTAGTTCTTATTTATTTATTCAGTTGAAGATTTTTAAATTGATCTCATTAATAATTATCAAACAGCCAAAATAATTATAATTTGTAATTTAACTCTTATAATAATATATCTAATTATTATTTATACCATATAGTATATTTTATGTTAATTAAAAATTAAAAATTACAATATTTCATTTTTTTTTTTTTTTACAGCGAAGAAAATGTGTGGCATTTAGCCAAAAATATATTGGTTGCAAATAAAAATGTGTCCAATTGGAAATGCTACGTTGTTTTTGTTTCTAACTCTAATAAATGTGTACCACTTTGGAAACAACAATGCAGTGAACAAGAAGGAGGGCTTGTTTTCTGGGTAAATATGTTATTAAAACAATATTTGGTAATATAATTAATTAATGGATATTTCAAATATAATTCAGAAATATAGTGTATTATATTATTATTGTTAATATCTATCTAAATACTTTCATGTATTATGGTCACAATTGGACCACAATTAGTATGCTATTTAGCAGAGCTTATTTATTTTCACATTTTTTTTTAAGCAAAATATTATTTTATTTTTATAATGTACTGTAAAAATTATTATTAATATAATACTGTTAATTATTTATAATAACAATTATTTTTACAATAGTATTTATATATTATTATTCTTTAGGACTATCATGTTTTCTTAATGATCAATTACCAAGATACAACTCAGGTACTCGATTTAGATACTACGTTGCCATTCCCAGTTACATTTTCTCAATACTTTGAAGAAGCTATAAAAGATGATCCTAGATATTCAAAATATGGACGGTATATAAATATTTGATTAATAATATAACCTATTTATTTTTTACACCAATTTTTTAAATAATATATATATATATATTTTTTTTTTAGTTATTTCAGAGTGATAGAAGCTGAAAAGTACATTTTTACCCTTTCATCTGATCGAAGACATATGCTTAATAACAATAATGAATGGTTATCACCGCCACCTTCTTATCCACCAATTTTAAATAAAGGTTGACTATTATTATCAAGAACTAAATATTTCTATCAAATATTATTAAAAAACTAATGTGTTCATTTAAAAAGTTATTGTAATTTTTTTTTTTTTAGATAAACAGCACAATTTGAGTCATTTCATTTCAATGGAATCGTCTAATGAATTTGGACAAGTATTAAATCTTGCAGAATTTAAAATAAAATTTTCTTCTGCAGGTAGATGAATATACTATAATATCATATACCTATATTAATTTTAAAGCATAAAAAAATATGTGTGTATCTTTTTAATGTATTATTTATTTTATCAAAAATGATTTTTTTTTTACTTAAATTATAAATTAAAAATATAATTTTTATAATTTTTAATAAAAGTCATAGTTTGTTGGATATTATTATGTATTATGAATTTTCACCAAAAGAATAAAAAAACAATAAATATAAATAATATATTTTTGTAACTCGTTTTTGTTATGTTAGTTTAAGTTTCAATTTTAGCGTTGTTTTTTTTTTTATCAAGTTAACCTTTTATTTAAAGTATTATACCATCTGCAATGTTACAACCAGATAGGTTTTTTACTAAAAGTGTATTCTTGATTTTTTTTCTGTGTCCAGTTTTGCGGCTACTAAATTACCTAATTTGAATAATTTCTAACTTTTACAGTAAAACAAATTGCATACGGACTACAGTAAAATTGTAGAAGCCCAATCCAAATTCACAATGCCGATAAAATCAAATATGAAGGTCTTATTATAAACGTATTGCATGTTATCACAAATATTTATTGAGACGTCTTCAGATTGCCCAAAGATGAAAATATAAAAGAGACAAAAGTAAATAATGTACAATTCATTAAACAATAATTTATATTTCTCGCAGTGGTATTACTGCTACGACAATAGTCGTGCTCGTACTACCCGCCCGCATCTTGCCCTGCTGGACTTTTTTTGAAGTACATAAAGTTCTGTAATGAAAAACCAAAACGTCCAAATAAATTCCAATACAATATTTACGTGAAAAAATTTTTTAAAATACCTTGGGACAAACAAATTTTTACCGAGGTCGCAACGATGAGTGGTGAATGACTTAACTGCAAAATTACCTATAGTTGCCTCCATGGCGTGTGGTGTGGGGGTTGCATCAATGCAACCACTTTTCGATATGGTGTATACCACCCTACTGTGAGGCTCCAGTAGTTAGATCTACCATATCTAGTAGGCCGCGAGACTCGAGACTGACTTCTTTTCCTTGTTGCCCCCCAATCACACTTTCGTGTGGACGGTGTCTGTCTAGTCTGATGTCCTCGACCCTAGTCCTCTCCGGTTCTCTCAACAACCACGGACATATGTCACCTTATGGTGAGTTTGTGTGTCACCACCCCTACCGACCTCGGTGATAATGATACGACTTGAAGTTGTATATATACTATGTAATCGGTAGAAAACAATTACATTCGAGAATCGTCGATCGCATTTCTGAGCATAGCCATTGATAATAAATACAATAGATAGTATTTTTGCAGCATTTTGAATAAAAATGTAGCGAATGTGTGCTTAATATATTATTATAATTTATAATAAATAACATCCATATTGTTTCATAAAAAAAAAAACATTACAAAATATTATTTTTCCAATTGATTAATTTACTTTGCCGCTGTTTAAAGATCATATTATATAACTTAATACATTTTGTTAACTTCTTATGAAAATCAATAGTAATTACCTTTATGTTTATAGTTACTGGATATGCAGGTTCGTTAAAATTGAATGGAATTGCTCCTTTCTTTAATACTTTTTGTAATAAAAAAAAAAAATAAACACGTGTTATGTAATTTTAAAATGAGTAGTTTTTATTTCTTCTTATTCTGTATCACTCAATTATTAATAACAGAAATCAAGAGGGAAACAATCTGTATTTACAAAAACATTATTACACGGAAATAAATTATATTCTTAGAGCTATAAAATTATCCAGAGACCAGAGTACAAAATATATAAGAATCAAATTAATGTATAAAAATAACTTGAGTTTCTCTAGTAAGAATCTAATGAATTGTTGATTTAAAACACCAACAATACAATGTAAGCAATTCTAGATGTAGACCCACTACAGTGCTGATTACCTAAAATTTAGGGGTTACTGACTTTAAAAAAAAAAAAAAAAATATATATATATATATATATATATATATATATGTATATATAAGTTATACCAACTACATAATTTACGATTAGAATGGTTTCATACTAAAATTATATTTTTGGTTGAACGAGTGACAATCAAATCATTAAATTAAGCATTGGCGCATATTTGAAGGGAGGAGGGGCTTGGGATTATTAAAACTTAAAAGTATAATGCTGTCCAAGCTGTATTTATTTTCATTTCAATAGATATCTCGCTAAAACAAAAAAAAGGTAGGCACTTTGAAAAAGCAATAATTTTAAGTTTTAGTATACGCCAATTAAATTAAATGAACTAAATGTATAGTTAAAGTTGACTTGACTAATATTTTAATCAAAAATCCCATTCATGCGGTCAATTCGTCATACAGCAAACCGACATGGGCGTATAAAAAAAAAGAGAGCAAATCCCAATTATAATAATAGGTACAGTGATTGTTTTTTTTTCTAATATATTGACAACATTATGTTACGATTTACACGAGTACCTGTATAATGATTTTAAGGACTAATAAAATTACACGGACATGCGAACGTCAGTGGCGCCATGCAAGAAGATATCCGACTAAATTGGTTTCTCGAAGACGTGGCGGCGGCGGCGGCCTTGGTTAATCGACAGGTCAAAAAATTTGTATAGGATCAGTACACAAGTATAATGACGGGCTGTCAAGAGTTTTGAAGAGTTGTTCCTTATAATAATAATAATATAATGTTGCGTCTCCTCTCCTGTTGTTCCTCTAAGGGATACACGAGGAGGAGGCACACAGTGTAATTCCTTGATCCAAAAAAAAACCGTCTGCGTAGGATATTCCATTGTATTGCATTGTAGCTTCACGTGTATAATATAATATAACATCAACGTATCATGTTATTATTTTCACGGGCATACTCATTATTGGCGGTCTTTTAAAAATATATTGTATCAAACTTCAAAGTAGATAATTTAAAACACCGCGGCGCTTATCTTTTGTTATACCTATGCAATTTAATATACGCAAAAAAAATACACCGGTCAGCGATTTGTTAATTTTTTTTATAGTATGTCGCCTTAGAAATGGATCACACCTATCGTAGAACACAATATAGGTAAGTAATGTTCGATGCACCGACTTTAAAAACCATATAACGGTACTTAACATAGTTTGTTCTAATTGGCTCTGGGTTAAAATATGATAGGTACACATAGGCGTAATTTCAATTTTTAACTTTGGGGGGCTGGACATTTTTTAAAAAAAATATATATAAGTAAATATATTTTTGTATTTCAAAATTGTATGCATAACCTAATTTTTTTGGTAGGACTATGTCTAGCATTGGGGGGTTAAGCTCACCCTAGCCCCCTCGTATTTGCGCCTATGTAGGTACAGCTACTGCCAGTAAGCAAATACCAGTAGCATTCATCTAGTCGTATTTATTAATACATTTATATTAAAAACTCATATAATATAAAACATAGGACAAGGAAATGTGTTTAAAACTAGAGCCGATTCAAACAAACTATAATGTCATTTAAAAATCAAGGTTTCCATGTTGGTAAACAATAATGTCAATTTTTAAGACAACGCAATGTGTGAACATTTCAATCTTTATTTATATGTTTATTTTTAGAAAATAATACACTATCAATATACCTACAATACGTATATTGCTTACATAGTAATAAATCTAGTTTTTATTAATATCCACTTCCCGATTTATGAAGAATAACTTAAAAAAATAGTGCAAACAACGGCAACATCGCCATCGATATTGGTAAAATAATAGTCATATACAATATCTAAATAGATCTGTATGATCACAATTGCAATTTGTATAGGATATAAATATTATAATTTACAGCTTATACCAACATGACTTTCACTGTGTTCCTGAATATTTTCTTATCTATTTATTTCTCAGACATAGAAGATCTAACCTAATAATTATTGGTGACTTATTTATTTTTATATTGACCATCTATTAGATGTACAATTAAAATTTAAAATATTTAATTTTTGTAAGGTGTTTAAGTATTTTGTATCTTTGATACAGTATCGAAAATTAATTTCTCTTCTACTAGAAGGTATCAAGTATGTTGTAACAAGTTAAGTACTTGCGCTTAATAATATTTTGCTCAACTTATTTAGAACTTACTTTATCCAATCAAGTGCACAGAGAATTGAAAACTGCAACAGTCGTTCCAAGACGTAAAACTTATACGTATATCAATGAACAAAGCGAAAAGGATGTTACTTCGACCAATGTAAAATCGTCTAGTCAGTCTTATGTTATAGATCATTTTTTTTTTGAAAATATTTAAAACCTAACCGAGGATTTAGTCTTAAGAGCCTTCAATATAGGTAGTACACACAAGTTCTGATTCAATAAATCTAATAATCAAAGTTTAGGATAATCAATCGTGTTTTTTTCATAATTAAAATTCTATACTTACAAAATCATTTATATGAATTTTACCTACCTACTGCATGTACAACTATTTGGTTAGGTAAACAAATCAAAGGGGGTTCGATGAATGCATTTTAGTATTTTTCTAATAGCAAAAATTATCAAAGTATGTTTAGGTACCTTTATGACTTTATTATAGATTTGTATGCCAATAGTAGGTTAATTTAATATTGAATGGTTTCAATACGTACCTACATGTCTATAGGTTTTTCTTTCTAGATTTTTGTTTTGTATTAATATTAAATTATAGTCAATAGCCAGATACGCTGGTTATTCATATAGCTATATTTATATTGTACAGCCATATTATATATTTACAATACTTATAAGTTATAAGCTATTTACTAGGCAGCTAGTTATAATAACTAATAAGGTACAATAAGCTTTTAGTAATGTGAACAGATGTTTGGCCGCTAAAACAATTTCACATCATTTGGTATTTTTTTCCTACTCTGTGACTTTTCTCCTTGCGTTTCTTTGAATATGTATTGGAGGTATATTATTATGTAATAATATTATCTAATGGTATTTTATATTATTGTTTTTTAATGCGGCCGAAACACGACTAGAACATAATTTAATTTCGGTTTCCGTTCGAAATCCAATACGGCCGAGGTCAGATATTTCCCACATCGATTGGCTTTGACGGAGGGCCACGTCCGGTTCTTTTATTATTTTCCGTTCGTTTTTACTTACTTTTTTCTAGCTCACAAGTTATTATAACATGGCGGCCGTCAAATGTAATTGCTTTTAAGTCAATTACGCTATAGCAGGTCGGGTCCCGACGTCGATATTATTATTATTATTATCATCGTCATCATCATCATCTTCATTATCATCGTAGGTATACTATTTCATATACCTATATACAATGCACCCGAGGAAACAATGCAACCGGTTGCCTCCGCTCATTGGATAGCTGCCGGTCACGCCCAGTGAGCAGAGAATTGTTTCATGTATTATAGTTTTCCCGTAAGTGCAAGGATAAAGCCAACAGGACCGTGGTAAAACAATGTTTACATTGTCGACATTTACAAAAAAAAAAATACTTGGGCTGTTGTGTGCAAAATTAATGTAAATCTAATTGTAGCAAAAACTATTCCTACAATTAAAAAAAAAAAAGGTAAAAGGTTAAATTTATCATATAAATACATTTTTAAGGAGGCAATTTTTTTACAAAATCTTATCTTAAAGGTTAAACTGGGATGTGTAATAATTATGGATTGTGTAATTTTGCTAGTTATATCGCAGCATCCTTGTCTGCGATTTTGAAAGTGCTATCACCGCTTTTTCGACAATATGGATCTTCTACAATTTGTCTGACAGGAGTGTTACTTATATCAACTGAAAGTTAAGAACTTTATCT